ATTGATTCACTTATAGGGTCTTTGCATCGGAATTAAACATATTTATTCTAAAACCAGTTGTTGGCATGACACGGGTTATGTTCTTCTCATATATTTTATGATGGTATAATACTAAACCCCTAACAGGAGGGATTGTGCCTGATATTCATATGATGAAGACATAATCTTTCAATCAGTTTAATTGAGGTCTGGAGCTGGCATGTCAGTAACTGCTAGTAGTCTGTTGTTATTTATGTATTATTGTCATTTTGTTTATTTTCTTTTGTTTCCTATTCTGACATCGGACTCGGACTTCTCTTAAACTGAGTTTTACTGTGCGTACTGTTGTACGTTTGTTATTTCTACATTGGCTAGAGGTATAGGGGGAGGGTTGAGATCTCAAAAAACATGTTTAACCCCGCCGCATTTTTGCGCCTGTCCCAAGTCAGGAGCCTCTGGCCTTTGTTAGTCTTGTATCATTTTTAATTTTAGTTTCTTGTGTATAACTTGGAGTTTAGTATGACGTCCATTATCACTGAACTAGTATACATATTTGTTTAGGGGCCAGCTGAAGGACGCCTCCGGGTGTGGGAGTTTCTCGCTGCATTGAAGACCCATTGGTGGCCTTCGGCTGTTCTCTGCTCTATGGTCGGGTTGTTGTCTCTTTGACACATTCCCTATGTCCATTCTCAATTTTATATATATATATATATATATATACGTCACTGGTTCAGACGTACTTATAATAGAATTATTTCTGTGACTGCATCTTACATTAATTTGTAAGATCCTTTAGATAATTCATCTGATCTGTTCATGCCTTATATATCATGTACTGTGTTACGACGCTAGATAAAAACTGACGAGGAAAGGTAACACCCGGCCACCGAAAGCTTTATTATTTATAGAGCCTAGGTGGTCGAGTGGTCTAGCGCGTCGGGCATAGTGCAAGGCGATTTGGTGCCACGATATCTCAGTAGAACGAGTTCGAACCCCGGCCAGGGAGGAACTAAAAATTTGCTTCCGCAAATTTACAGATCTAACATTGTTGGGCTGTTGTTTAGACGAATTATATATATATACAAGTCTAAATTGAAAACAACGTTCAAACCTATGATTCCTGGGTATGTTTCTAGCGCAAATGTTGGAATGTCAACTTATATTTTCGGTTCCTGCTTCACGAAATTTGTAAACACTAGACACAACCATTTTTACACCTCCACACTGAAGAGATTTCAAGTGCTGCCCTTGGTCGAGAATGATGTAGTCGGAATGGGCGTGACTTTTATCTACCGTTAGATGGCGTAGCATTGTAATCACAAATGTAGGATTAATCTGGGTGGAGAGGAGGGGACTGGATCGTAACCCTTGCTTGCGAAGATGACTATATTTGAACTTTGGTGAATAGTTGTCTCATTGGCAATCATATCACATCTCCTTATTTTTTTATAAACATGATTTTTTTCATCATGTGATTGACTAAATTACTATTTTCTAAATTATGTCGTTCTATTTTAATGTTTCTGATGTCTTTGAAAATTATATTGTAGTAGCTTTATCAAAAAGTGGGATAAAATTGGAATATTTATAATCGTGAAAGATCGGATCAACTTTTTTTATGATCGTGAAAAAGATCCGATGTCGCTTATGCGTCATTGCAAAAATCATTGAAAGTGTTATAATTGTTTTGTAATTATAAGAAAATTTACCATTGTAATTGGTACAGCAAAAGACTCGTCTTCCATGACTTTTGTTGGAAAATCAAAATGTTGGGCTATGGTGGTTTAATGACATTTGGTCAGTTTTTTTTTAAGACAACGCCGACTAGTCCGTGGGACACTATAGCAACTACTGTCTGTCGGTTCGTCCGTTAAAATGTTTATGTCGTATTATAAGTCAAGAGTGCCTCGTATGATATCAGTATTTCTATAAGAGGCAGATCCTTGTCCATTTTTGTTAAAAAAAGTGGGGGCAATTTAGGTAAAAAAAAACCTTTTTTATTGAAAACTTTTTTTTCTAGTTTTTAAATGTCTTTTTGAGCAAGGATTTCAATGAAAAACGATAATTGATTCCGGTTATTTCAAATTTGCGACATGTGAAAATTGGTGAAAAAATATGGTATAAAAATTGTTTTTATTTATGAATTTATAAATTATGATTATCTTTCTGTGCTGAATTTCAACAATAATTTTATTTAGGTATAATATGGAATTCCAAAGTGATTCACAAGGTCGAATTTTCGATAAATCGATAAAAAAATAGTTTTTGATATAAAAGAAACTTAATAAGTTCAAGATTCAAGGACTCGAACGAGATTAAATTAGGTGTATTATGCTATTCAAAATTGATAAGTGGTGTACAATTTGCGGGGAAAATGAGCTTTTAAAATGAAAAAAAAAAAACAAAATTTGGGAATTTTCTTTCTGTGTTATGTTTTATCGAAAATTGAAGCAAAAATATTATTTGCCATTCCGAATTGTATCAAAAATAATCTGTTGGCTGCCAATTTTGGAATGACCATCAACATGCATGATCATTTCATAGAAGAACTGTTATAGCTTCATAGACCATATCCTGAAATAATTATTGGTTTAAATTTGTTGTTGTGTTTCAACTTTTCAATGTCACGTAGTCTAAATCATGATTTATACGAGTCCTGCTTAATTGTTTTAGACATGCCGAGCTAAATAGTTTTACGTTCGAGCTGAAAAGTGTTGACAGTTCGCATAATCACTATATCCGGACATATGGTATTCGCTTAGAGTTAGACAATGTTAACTGTTTTTACTAGTGCAGCGTGCTTGCATGCATTATCAGGCAAATGTATATAGACTTGTTACGATCGGGAATAAAACACAATCGGAAATTTACAGATCAAAGTAGGTTATCGATCACTCCAATCTCGAGGTACCTACGTTCGTATTTCACCACAAAGCTGGGAACTATATATATGACGTATATCAATGCGTAAAAAAATAACGTATTTCAGGGGAATACCCCCAGACCATGTCTTGCTTCTCGCATTCACAAATTCATTTGCAATTATACATACAAAGATACTTATTTTTCAACAAGTAAGTATCCTAGTGGCCTCATTATCTTGTAAGTCTTGTTATAATTGCATTTTAATTGAAAAGAGGGTAACTATGGGATTACTAGTATGTATAAATAGAGATGTTTTTCTCAAGTAACAAAATGAATTATCCATAAGTCCTGTGAAGGATGAAATCGCTAGACTTTTAAAAGAGAGACGAAATATACCAAAGGGAAATTCAAACTCACAGGTTGAAAATAAACTGTCAACGCCATGGCAAAAAAAGAAAAAGATCAAAAACAAACAACAGTATACAAAACAAAATATAGAAAACTAAAGACTGAGCAACACGAACCTTACAAAAAACCGGGTGTGATCTCATTTGCTCCTGAGCGTTAGCAGATCCTGCTTCACAAATGACAATCTTCGTGTTGCTCATGTAAGTACAAAGAAAAATGGATAGGTCACATTCGGGGAAAAGAGGACGGGATTGTGGTTACGACATTTGGAACGACAATTGGAACATATCCGTCGTCATCTGTGAAACAAATATTCCATAACGGTCAACCAACTCTTGTTGGCGTACGTAAAATTTTCGAAGGATGATTTCAACTTCACTGCTTGGAATGCTTGGTCTTATAGCTTTCTTGTGAGAGCAACTCTATATCAAGAATATTATGATGAAATGCAAGCCCTGGAATATCGTATCAACTGGGAGATATATACTCCATATGCAGTCGCTGCTGGAATTTTTTCTACATAGAAGTTCACAATTAGGAATTTAAAATCATTTCTTTTGTCGTAAAGTTTTGTTCTCAACCGACCCTCATTTCAATTTCTAGATTCAAGTCAAGATATGAAGCATACTTAATTGTATCTGTTGTATCCTTTATTTCAAATTCGATGGAACATAGTCACCAAACCTTGAATTATTCAATGAGAGGACATCATCTATATAGCGGTAAACTAGGTTGAAGGATAATGCTAGCTTCTTTTCATTCTTCCTAAGAAGCTCTTGTATGAAGTCGGTCTAATATGAATAGAAGAACAAGTCGACTAGAAGAGGGGCACAGTTGGTTCCCATGGGAATACCGATTGTTCGTTGAAAAACACGTCCTTCAAACGTAACAAATATGTTGTCAATCAAGAAATACAGCATCTTAATGACGGAGTTTGAGAGAAATTTTTGTTTGTATCAGGGTGATTTTTTACAAAGAATTGTTTATCCCTCCCTTTGACTACTTGTATCTACGTTGACCATTATTTCTTAATGAAACAAAGCAGGACCAATTAGTCTATTTGTCTTTCAGTTTTGAATGATAATTACTTGGGTAAAGATTAGAAAAGTCAAATGTTTTAATAATATTGCAAGTTGAAGGAGTCTTAGTTTGAATGTACTCTAACATATCCTTTGAAGTTTTAAGTATCCACATCTGATTCCCGCCGCCTCTAGAATAGGTAGTTTCACAATAATTTTGAAGCTCGGCTTTGGTTGCTGACAAAAGCGATGTTATAATTAAGAAAGAGGTTTCGTGTAGCACTTGGAAGACCCAGCAATGTAACGTTGTTTGTAAGGAAACTTGTGTAATTTAAGTATACAATACAGTAAAGGAAGTTCCAGTGCTTCATATTTGGTTGATATTCCACAGGTACATAGAACAGACCTAAAATTATCCAGGATTTCCTGCTTGGTAAATGTCGTGGGGGTATATGTTGGGTTTCCAAGTGAATCGTCAATACCCATATATATAATTCATTTATCAAGCTGTTTGTGTATTATTCCACTGTTTACACATATTGATAGTTTAATCAATATTTGATTGGTTGAGACTATCCCACGTGTTATTGAACAAATCTTCATATTCCCTTCTGAGGATCATATTTCCCCTCTGAAATGTCTGGATTACATCGTGCGACGATACGCGCGGTTAATGTACATAACGTTTTGAACTTCTTTTTCTTCTTAAAATAGTGATAGCAAAAATCATTATCATATTCAAATTTATTTCAGACGATAAAACAAAAAGACTAATAATGAACTTTTGATCCGTACTGTTTATCAATGTGTATGTCATGTTTAGTTTAACCGTTATAAAAACAAGCGGATAAGAAAAAAAAATGTATGCAAATAATAATTAATGTATTGATAGTAAACAAAGCATAGGCAGTGGAATAAAACATTCATTTCCCTTTGCCTCGGGAGATATGAAGATTTGTTAACCCTCGAAAACTCATATTTCCCTCGGGCAGAGCCCTCGTGAAATATGAATAATCTTGGGTGAACAATTCATATCTCCCTCAGGCATGGGAAATAATTGTATAATATTCCATTGAAATCGGAAGCGTTCTAACAGCCCCAAGTAAACAATTTATGTAGACATAGGATTTACATTGGTTAATTTATATTTTTCATCAAACTGTGAAGACTAATTTTGACAATTAAATGATATTATGTAAAAAGATGTTTTATTAAGAATAAAGATACCCACAAAATGTAGTAATAAGGGCATACAAGTGAACTTAATAAGAAAAACAATGAAAATAAGAATAAATAACTTTTTGAATGCAGTAATTTTTAAAGGTGACGACCATTTAATATTCTGGGTGGGGGATGATTATTCTGGCCTGTAAAGAACTGAAAAATATAAGCGAGACTCATAAAAGGTTAAATTGATTATTCCGTCAGAAAATAAAATCATCATGGGCTGCCCCTCCCCAGACGAATATCAAATGGTCGTCCCCTTTCATCAATATGTGTACCAATAACACGTAACAAGAAAATGAGAGAAAACAATATAAAAAAAGACTTGTGTAAACTTCGAATATCATAGATATTTTTGCTTTCATTGAAGCACCATTTTCAAGTAATAATAATAAAAAACAAATGAGTATTAAAAATGCATAGGTGAACTTGGCCCACAGCGGTACATTAGGGGTGTGTTCAATTGAAAGTTCCCTCACCTTTTGTGCAGTACATACTTTTTTTTATATCTTTACTTATTCGTGATATTTCCAAGACAAGACATTCCACTCACTCAGACACATACATGTAAATGAGATTAAACGAACAAGTACACATTTTAAAATCAGATCACACACAAGTCAGATCGGATACAATAAACATCGGATACTATAAAAGAACAAAACAAACATAGTTAAGGTATACGAAAGCGTATTAGCGCCACACAACTTTTATAGAATAACTAATCGAAGAATTCAAATAGAGAAAAATATTCAACGAGTGACCGAACACCACATTAATTCACGAATGCGCGTAGCGCATGAGTTAATTATCAGTGTTTTTCTGTCACGAGTTGAATATTTTTCGATATTTGAATTCTTTGATTAGTTATTCTTTTTATTACATTGGCAAATGGCTTTTTTTATGAAATTAAAGTAGAAAACGTAAGGAACTATATCTTTTTCTACGCATTCACAACTGTGTTTTGATCCGACGTTATCGACGTCTTGACAACGCCTATTGTTGTATGACATCAGAGGAGTGAAATAACCACGTTTATTTCACATGTGAAATTATCGGTTTTTATTTCACTGGGAAATCAATGTAATTCATTGCAACCAATGTAATAATATTTTTTAATATTTCTTCCAATGTTTGCGTTATAACGCAAACCTTTGAGAAATAACGCAAACCTTTGCGTTATAACGCAAACCTTTGAGAAATAACGCAAACCTTTGCGTTATAACTTTACTAGATCGAAATGAAAATTCTATGACTTTCTATCAAAGAATCTTTATCATATTCTGAGATTTAAAAAAACGATTTCTTGCATCAAAATTTAAAAAAAAATGGTTCTTTATTAATAACTCATTTAAAAGCAGAAAGATCATTTTGTCTATTTGACTTGCAAGTTTCACAATTGTATGACATTATTTTTGCTCTTCCAATTAAAATATGCCTATACCATATCTATTTTCTTGTTAAATTATATACTTTTCTGATGCACAAATCATTCTTAATTTATGTATATGGCACTTCAATGTATTCCCTTATTCCTATGCATATTTATTATAATGATTTGGCCTTGTGTTTATGGTTCTTTTCTTATCTAAAATCACAACCGAAATTAATGACAGACGGACATATATACAAAACTTAATGAATAATTGAAATCAAGATGTTTGCGTTATAACGCAAAAGGTTTGCGTTATATCGCAAATGTTTGCGTTATATTGCAAAAGTTTGCGTTATTTCGCAAAGGTTTACTTTATAACGCAAAGGTGTGCGTTATATCGCAAATGTTTGCGTTATTTCGCAAAGGTGTGCGTTATATCGCAAATGTTTGCGTTATAACGCTAAGGTTTGCGTTATTTCGCAAAGGTTTGCGTTAAATCGCAAAGGTTTGCGTTATATAACGCAAAAGTTTGCGTTATTTCGCAAAGGTTTGCGTTATAACGCAAACATAGGAAGAGTATTAAAAAAAAAAAGTTGTGTGGCGCTAATACGCTTCCGTAAAGGTAAACAAATAACAAAATAATGTGTTTATATAACTAAATCACGTCTGCATTAGTTTTCACAAATACCAAGTTTCTTAATACACACATTTTTTTTGTATAATGGAACATTGAACATGACACAATTGAGCTGACAGTCAATGGCACCTAAACATTAAATTTTTAAAAAAGTTTTAATACACAAAAGCGTAGAGAAAAAACACAACCAACATGTGTTCCATGATTTAAGGAAAAAGATATATTGATAGTAAGTTTGAGTGACTTCAACTAGCTTTTCAGTAATTTGATAAAAAAATAAAATCATTATATATATATATATATATATAAAAAAAGAAGATGTGGGTCAAATAAGTCAATATGACAGCTACCAAACGACAAAAATAACTTAGTCATCAATTGGACACAGAAAATTATTGTGGTGAGAAGTTTCGACCATATTATTTAGATAACTAAATATTGTCGATAATTCAAAATTAATAGATTTTTGAATTCAAGATATTAAATAATTATACATCATTTAATATACCAGCGACAAAAATAATAATCTTTAATCTATCCAATCATATATTCTGGTCATTCTTCAAGATGATGAAGTTATCAGATTTTACCAATAAATAACTGTCAGGCTGGCAAAATGTTGTCATACTACGTCAATTATGACATAACTTAGCATAATTCTCAAAATTTGTCGCTTTCGATAGAAAATTTGATTTTAATTTGCGAAGATTTTATTCAACAGAGTTGAGGCCGATTTCCCATGAATTTATTTCACACGATTGTCATTTTCTAAAAGTCCTTCAATTTTTACTGAAATTCACAGTTTCCGAGATTAATGTGTACTTAAAGGTATATTAACAATATTTTGGCGTATTTTCGAACATGTGACCGAATTATATAGGCCTAAAGATGACTCAAAACTGCAATTTTCACAGACTTTGGCAAAATTTGAGTTATTTTCCAGAAAATGTATGAGCAGAACATAATGTCATTCTGAGCATACAATGATTTAACGATAATTTTAGTTATTAAAAGTTTTAAAATGTTTATTTCAAAACACTTGGTGTCAAGCGTACTTAGTACAGCGTATAATGCCCGTATTCCAGAAACACATCACGAGGAGTCTTGCGGTATGTAGTCGAAACGCGCGTCTGGCGTATAAATTATAGGCTTTTGATAGGTTTTTGTGTGTTGAAATCAATTAATACGTTTTATTAGCCAAAAAAATACTACACAAAATACTCTTAACTAGCTTGCTTTGTTATTGCTGCTATAATATTTGTAATTCGAAATTTTATGGCGGACCCATATCTTTCCGTCACTAAAATTTACTAATTGTATTCTCTTATCACATACACGAATTAGCCATTACCTACCAGTTGTAAATGAAGCACAAAAAAAGGGTCTTTGTATTTGCTGGATTGCATAGGATGAATATCGTTGTTATATATACATGTACTTCTTTTAACTAATTTAATGGAATTGATTATTCGTGACTTCAATACATTGAAAAAATATAACAGCCAAATACGACTAACAGGTCTTTTCATGTTAAAATTTGCAGACTTTGTTACATTTCAAGTGTAGCCATACTTTATCCTTTATATGACAAAGCATTCATTTAATATTAATGTTTACAAAATCTATCAATAGCGTGATTTATAATTTTATATGGTACCTCTGGTTCTACATATACCCATTCATTGCTCTTTTGTGCTGGAGAGGAGCTGTACCAACGGTCATAATGCACGTCTGCCCAATATGCAAACTGCTGAAAATGTGGGTTAGGAGAGCGTTTGTATGAAGATGGAAAAAGTTCGATCATGGTAGATCCAGAACGCAACAATAAAGTATGTCCTAAACCGGCACCGTGAATTCCGACCAAGATAGTAGTTTCATATATCAATTTTATTTGTTCTTCAATTGGTAATAGGTCTATTTGTATTGCATGTATGAGAGCATTTGGAAATTTTTTAATTAAATAATCCATAATCTCTTTTTCATTTGATAATTTCCGTTGCACTTTTCCCCTTGGATTTCTAGGATGAGCTACATAGTCTTTTCGTAAAATAAAAGTGACTTTTTGAGAATCAGTACAATTGTGATATAAAGATGAAGAATTTTGAACCCCTTGATACAAGGCAAATTTGAATTCTTCGACAAATGGAATATTTTGTACATACTGTGACATTGGGCCATCGGGAAGGACCCATGCTAGCTTTTTATGAAAACTTTTTTTCTGCATATGTCCTATCCTATATACGTTGCCAAATAGTATACTCCATAAATTGTCTAATTTTCCAGCAGGATGTGCATCCATTATTATAACATCTGTGGTTTTAGGATTTTCACCAAATAAACGAATTGTTAAATACGTATTGAAAAGTTCCATCAATGTCCAGTATAAATTTGCATAGTCTCCTCGTCGTATTAACACAGTGAACGTAGAATCATACGAGTTTCCATCATTATTACCTTTTCGTGTTGAAATTCCTGAAAACCAGTTGTAAAAATGAGATCGTTTACGAAACGTCATTTTCGGAAGCTCTTCACAAGGAATGTTGAAAAATCCACTTTGCATGGTAACTTCCTCATCCTTCTCCGTATGGCCAATGACTGATTTGATATCTTCGCCACCTTTCGCAACACTCTTTTTCCTTAAAGGATCAATTATGACATTTTTCATCAACATCATAGACCCTTTGAAATTGTAAAAATTTCCCGAACAATGTATGTCGCCCCATTCAGTCCAGTTTTTTTTTTGTATACCAAAAATGACGTCGTGGTTTACCTTTTTGAATAATTTCATCTCTGGAGTTTTCACTGTTCTAGGTCTGATTTCAGGAACTATATTTCTTATATCTTTAACATTATATCTCACGGATGATTGGTTGTCTACAGGCGAAATTTCAAAAATATTTTGAACATTGCCAATTTCTAGCCTTCTCTTGAGCAGTTGGCGATTGTATAAATGAAATTCCGGGGATGTCCTCATCATTCCCATTATAAATATGGTGAAGGCAAATAAAAAAATAAAGAAGATCGATCTTTTCTTCCGAACCATATCAGAAGTTCGTCATTTCAGTTTTCAAAAATATATAAATGTTCTCATTACACCACCTGAAAATATAAATTGTAATTAAAGCAAAAGAAGTGATTCAAATGATGAGAAGGCTTTACTGAAATTGTTTTACAGTTTTCATGTCAGTGCCTTTTATAGCCGAATATACGATATGCATGGGATTTTCTCATCTCATTGATGGAGGCCGTATAATTGATTATATCCACTTCATTTGAACTCTGGATGATAGTTGTCTCATTGGCAATCATGTCCCATCTTCTTATTTTTATATTGATGCTATTTTGTTTTATCGTTCTTGAAATGGAAGACAAGAGCAATGTTCAAATGCTACTACTGCGAAAAGGAACCTGATCAAGGGTATGTTATACTTGATAAATAATAAATAAATAAATAAATAAATAATCTTTATTTCGAGAGGATAATCCCATTAGTTAAAACTAATCTTCCTGAGAGTCCTCAAAATAATAATAACATATTTATAAGTACATACAATATTATAATGATATATTATACACAATATACAATTGTATCTAGATAATAATGAAAAAGCATATTAATTTGCACAATTGATGAAAAATTTGTAACATTTTGTTTTAAAAGATACAAGTGTATTACTCATTTTTATTTCATTTGGTAAACTGTTCCATATTTGAGAACCTGAATATGTAAATGTTTTCTTTAAAAAGTTTGTGTTTGGTTTCGGAAGATTTAATAGTTTTTCATCAGCCGAACGTAAATTATAATTCTGATTACCAATAAAATGAAAGTTTTCTTGTAAATAGTTAGGAACCATATCATTTAATGATTTAAATACAAGTATTGCCTTTTGATATTGAATGCGTTTTTCCATATTTAACCAGTTTAAACTATTAAACAACAAACTGGATGATGTCATTATGTCAGCTTCTACTATAACCCTAGCAGATTTCTTTAATAACTTATTAAGTTTATTTATTCCACTTTCATAGCAACTTCCCCATATATTGCAACAATAATCAAACAATGGCAGAATATAAGCATTAAAATAAATAATACGTATATGCATAGGTAAATATTTTCTTATCTTTTGTAATAAATTGATTCTATTTGATATTGTACATGACATTTTATCTATTTGCTCATTCCAATTTAGGTTTTTGTCGATATATAAACCGAGAAGTTTTTCACAATCTACATTCTCTATTTGTTCATCTGAAATTTTGATATCTAAACTGTTCCCAGTTGAATAAAGCCTCTGTTTTGAACCAATAATCATTGATTTACACTTTTTGGCATTTAGTTTCATACAATTTTGCGAACACCAGTTTTCAATTACATGAATATCATTTTGAAGGTTAGCAGTTAACTGAAGTACATTATTACCTTTACTATGTAATGTAGAATCATCTGCATATAAATCTATTAATGAATTTTTTATGTTCAGTGGTAAATCATTGATATATAAAATAAATAACAGAGGGCCAAGGATAGAGCCTTGTGGTACACCAGTTTTTATGCATTTAGTATTAGACATGACGTTATTGACCTTAACTTGTTGACTTCGTTCAAACAAGTATGACTTAAACCAGTCTAGTGTACAGTTTGAAACATTATAATATTCAAGCTTTTTTAATAAAATAATATGATTAACCAGATCAAAAGCTTTCTTTAAATCTAAAAATATAACTCCGTTTATTTCTCCCTTATCTATATTTGCTAACCATTCATCTACTAATTTAGTAATTGCAGTTGTGCACGAATGTTTAGGTCTGAAACCTGACTGTGTAGTATTAAGAAGGTCATTACTATTTAAATATATATACAAACTATCAGCTATATGTCGTTCTATGATTTTGGAGAGACATGGCAATACTGCTATTGGTCTATAATTATCAGGATTACAAGCATCGCCACTTTTAAAAATTGGGCAAACTCTTGCAGTTTTAAAAATACTTGGAAATTTACCACATTTGATGCTTAGATTAAATAAATATGTTAAAGCTGGTGCAATGACATCGCTGCACATACTCAAAATATTTGGTCCAACACCATCTAAACCAGTTGCTTTAGACTTGTCAAGTTTTTTTAAATACATTTTTACATCTAAAATACTCATTTCTGGTATAATGAATTTTTCACTACCCCTTTGTAACTTTGATTTCACAAATTTGTTGAGTACATCGAAACTTGGACCTTCATCATTATTACATAATTTGTTATCAACTATACCTTCAGCAATATTTGTGAAATGCACATTAAATGTATTTGCTATATCAACATCATTTTGAATTACACTATTTTTATATTCCAAATGCGTGATATTATTATGTAATTTTTTTGGATTTAGACTTTTGACATACTTCCAGATAGTTTTACTATCTTTACAATTTGAGATAGCATTTTGGAAATAATTTTTCTTTGCCTGTTCTACTAAAAATGTGACCTTATTACGCCAAATTTTATAATTATATATATCCCCAATTCTATGAAAATAATCTCTTTGGTGTCTAGCGCTATTTATATCAGAAGTCCACCACTCTGGTTGTTGAGTATTTTTCACCCTTTTAATTTTCTTAGGAGCATGCTTGTCTAGGGTGTTCAGAAATAGATTATACCAATAATTAGCTGCTTCATCAACATCTCCAATCGATTCAATGAGATGAAAAGGAGTATTTGTTAAATTTTCAATAAATTTATTTTTATCAAATTGTTTGAATGATCTATATTCTATGGACAAATGCTCCATTTTTAATATTTTTGGGTTAAGTTTTCTTGTTACGCAAACAGGATAATGATCACTGACAGCATAACTAGGCACATTTACTTCTGTAATATGGTCTATAGTAGTTACACATTTATCTGTTACTCTTGTGGGTTTATGTACAATTTGTTGTAAACCATACAAATTAATACAGTCCTTCCATTTTTGATTTCCGACAACTGTATGATCTATATGTGAATAGTTTATATTGAAATCTCCTAAAAGTATAATTTCTTTATTTTCTGCTAACGCTTTTTCTATTTCTTTTTCAACTGAATCAATCCAAGATTGCAATGAACTCGGTGGACGATAAAAAATGCCTATTAAAATAGAGTTTGTGTTTGGAAAAATAATTTCAATCCATAAAGATTCAATACTACCTATTTCTAAATCGATTCTTCTCTGGTGACATACACTATTTCGTATGTACGCAATCACACCTCCGCCATCATTAATAGCGTTTCTATCTTTTCTTTCTATTTTGTAACCTTCAATTTGTAATGTTTCGGTACCAATTTCATCATTTAAAAATGTTTCTACCATACCAAATATATCAAATAATTGTTCATATTTTAATAGGAATTTTATTTCTTCAATTTTGGGTTGTAAATGTTGAATATTTAAACAACCTAGTTTAAACCCTTTTTTAAGTAACCAACTTGCTTCATTATTTCTACTTCTATTTACAGAACTATGTGTTTTATTTTGACTCTTTCTATTTCTCTTTTGAGATTTTCCCCAATTAATATTATTAATGTTGTTTATATTACATGTACATTGTATACTACTACATTCATCACATAACAGATTTAAAATATTATATCTGTTTGAAAAATTAGAACAAGCTAAATGCTACCTCTGAATATAATCTGACTTACGTACAGAATTTGGTAAATGGAAGTCAAAAAATGGTGCTCTATCTACATTTTGTCTATTTAGCGCATTATTGTTTCCCCACGAGTCACGAGAGTTCATATTGAGATCATTCCTGTCCTTTACGTTTTTAGTGTTGACTCCTGAATGGTTGAAATTTCTTCTGCTTTCTGTTGTGTTCATGTTACTCCGTGATTGATATCTTGGTTTTATAGGGCTCCTTCTGAAGTGGTTTGTGTAATATTGGTGACCGGAACTTTGGAATCTATTTCTGTTTTGTTGGTTCAAATGATACTGTTGTGGTTTTCCCTTAAATACTTTAATTATTTTATTTACATTTGTCAACAGCTTTATTGTTCCATATCTATTTAGATGAATGCCATCTATAGTGTAAAATGATTTAGCTATATTATCATCCTTGTAGACAAAAGATTCATAATTTGATATAAATTTGACATCAATATGATGACACATTTGTTTTAGGATTGTGTCATATTCAGTGACATCACATTGTATCCTTGGCAATATTCCAGACACAATTGCTCGACAGTTTTGACTTCTTACATAGTTAATAATTTCTTGGTAAATGTCCACAAATTGTTGTACATTTATTTTGCTGCTTGCATCATTGCCCCCGACATGAATTATCATTGTATTGTATGAACTCAGATCCATACTTCTTATGTCATCGTACAAATCTAGAACATTTGCTCCTCTGTGAACATGAACATATATATACTCTTTTAATTTAGATGGGTTTATTCCTTTTAGAACTGAACTTCCTGCAATTAAAACTCTACTTCCTGATAAAGGCAGTTTCAGTTGTGTGTCATACACAGGATTTTGTGGTTCTTTAATTAAATCAGCATTTATTGGCTGTTCTGTTTCAAAGATAAGCTGTTCTTGTTCATGTATAGGTTCTTGTAATAAATTTTCAAATGTTGTTTTTGGAATTGTTTGATCTTCATCTAACATTTGGGTACATTGGTTACTGAGATTTTCCAGCTGCGTAAAGCTTTTTTTATTGGTGCTTTATTGCTGTGTAAGCCCTCTCCCTTTTTTCCAAAGACCGTTATTTTTTTGCTCTCTGTTAAATTCCGTGATTTTTGCGTTTCTGTATACTATGAACATACATAATATAAATAAAGTGTATTTGCTATTAAAAAAAAAACTATCAATTCCAAGTTTCTTCTCCACGGCGATCACTGCTATACTATATAGAGAGGGCTTACACAGCAATAAAGCAGCAATAAAGCACCATAACTGCTTCCTTTCCACCAGAATAAAGCTTGTAGACTTTTTATTTCATTGTTTATTATATATTCTATTTAATTCAAATATTGTTAATAAGAACAGAGACATATATACACGTGTATATATGTCTCTGATAAGAACTAGTACAGGTGCGGATTCAGTGTGTGTTTG